AATTCTATTTACATTTATTTTAAAATTACTGACAGTTACCTATTATCATTTTCTAAATACTAGAGGTAAATTTCTGCGCTTGATTTTTTCTGTGTGGTTTGTAATTAATTACCGCTGCTTATATGACAAAAGTCATATCTCTGGATTACTAAAAAAAAGTCATATCTATGTATATAGAACTATTGTCGTTAAAATCTTGATTTTATGTTTTTACGATTTTTTTCATCTAAACGATTTTATTAATATTTCAAACGTTTTTACGTTTTTATGATTTTTTCCATTACGATTTTACATTTTACGATTTTTTAATCCCCTTCCGATTTTATTTAAGATCTCGATAACATTGCATTGCATAGGACATCTAAAGTAATTTTTTAAAATTAATTTAATGTGTGAATGACATTACTCCAATTGCAAATCTGAATTGATTTGTGTTATCGGATTCTTGCCTAACTGGGCAAATATAGCTAATAAACGAGAATGTTTCACAATTGAGAAGAGCACCGTGTGGACGCGTGCAACTTGGAATGAAACAGAACCAAAAGGCTAGTAGTTTATTGGTAATGGTAAGGCATTAGAATTAGAATTAGAATATGATATGGGTTAGAAGTTAGTCGAATTAAGTTCATCTATCCAATCATGTAATTTTGGAATTAGAGGGTCACATCATCTTGGCAAGATGTAATTAGGGACAGAAAGTTGCCTATCAACTCACTATACAGGAAGTTCACCTCAGCTTTATTTTATTGACCCCAAAACAAGTTAACATCCATATTAAGTAACAATAAAAAAAGTAACAATGCATTATTAAGATAAGTGCCCTGCACCATATATGCATTATATATTCTTAATCCACAACCAAAAGACACAATTATCCTGCGATAAGGATGGTTCAATACGCGGATTTTGGATATAATAAACAAATTAAGCTCCACAATCAAACACAAAAAATCAGCTCTGAAATGACATCTTAAGTTTTTTACTACAGAGCTTAAGTTTAGTTCAAAGGAAATGTTAACAGTTTTATTGACCCAGATGGAAACGCCAATATTTCTAAGAATACTATGATAAGGACAAAGACAGGACAATAAAGAAAGAATTTTCGTACCATCAATTGTATCGTTGGTCTTTTTTAAATCGAGGGATAATTATGCCATGATATTAATCAAGTTTTCATTTAATTATCTATTTAATCTTGGGGTAGATTATACTTATTTTTTTTTTCTTAGTATCTCTTATTACCAAATCTTAATCGTTGATTTCTGTCAATCTAACGATTATAATTTATTGGATCACACTTATTAATTAATTATTAATTTTTAATAAATTATAACTGTTAGATTGACGAAAATTAACAATTAAGATTTAATAGTAAGAAGTAGTAAGAAAAAAAATACTAAGTATAACTTTTCTCTAATAAAAATATATCAATTAAACAAATTTTAAAAAAATTCAAAATCTTCCTGATTTCTCATTAGGTATTCATTTACGTTCAAATCAAGAAAATAAATTGATGAATTTCAGTCACATCCTTTGTTAAACCAATCCAAACCAATATCACGTGTCCGTGCGTTCTCATAAAGAAACCCAACTAGGACAGCTGGACAGGTTGATGTCCATTGTGAGAATATGTGGATTTTTTACATTTTAAGAAAATCGTAGGACTCAACTATTTACTTCTTTCTCCACTCCCTATCCAATAATGTGAATGTTGGAAGAATGATTATTTTGTTACTGGCAAAAAAAAATTATCAAACTGTCACGTCAATAGTAAATTTTATCAAAATACCACGTGACATATTTCGCTACACTGTGCTGTGAAATATGTGTGTAAATAATTCGCTACACAGTGTAGCGAAATATACCACGTCAAAACCAAAAATGTCATGTGTCAAACAATGTGAAATTCACTACACAGTGTAGCGAATTTCACCTTGTTTGACACGTGACATTTTTGGTTCTGTACATTTTGACGTGGCATATTTTGTTATACTGTGTAGCGAATTATTTGCACACATATTTCGCTACACAGTGTAGCAAAATATGTCACGTGATATTTTGACAAAATTTACTGTTAGCGTGACAATTTGATATTTTTTTTTGCCAAGAGTGACACTTCAGTCAGTGTTTCGTGAATGTTCCACACATGAACCAAAAGGAGCCAAAATTCAAACGTATGACATTAACTAGATCACCAAAGGCAGGAGCGTGCAGTTAAAATATAAATATTCAAAAAAGTTTAACATATACTTTGTTTTGTTTTTTAATATGGGTTCGCATTTTCGTTTTTTCTGCAGTAAGTCAATACAATGTCGTTTTGAGACGGAAATCATGGTATTTTTATAATTTTAATTTATTTTAGGGTTATAATGGTCTTTTATATTTATAATTTTTTAAGATTTCAATACCAAAACGACGTCGTTTTAGAAATAAATACAGACATTAATTACGAAAATATTTTTCCCTTTTAAGATATAACTTTTTGGTTTTTAATATATAAAAAAGTCAATGGTAAGATTTCTATGCGGTTGTGGAATCGGCCGAGATGCACTCCAAAATCACTTTCTAGAGAGTAAATAGACATGGAGACATCATTCAAGTACAGCAATATTAAAATAATGTTATTCTATTTTTATTTACAAACTTCTTTTATGAAACAAAAATTGGTGAGAGAAAGACTTATCTTACTCTTTTCTTTTCTTTTTCTCTCCTTTTTTTATAAAAAAATAAATAAGAAATATAATATTTTACTAATTTTTTTTATATCTACTTTACGATAACATCTTCATTGCCACGTTTTCGGTACATTTTTCATTTATAATATGACATGTGTCTTATTTTTATCAAATCATTAATAAATAATTTATTTTAAAATCAGGTGAGAGTTATTTGATAAAAAATAAGATACGTCTCACATTATGATTGAAAGATGCACCGAAAAATCGGTACATCCATAGCACTAAATCCCCCCTATTTTACGTATTTATTTCCTATGTAGCACCGATACTGAACGGGACACAGGACACGATACGACATGACACTCCGATACGTTAATTTTTAAAAATGTTAGATTTCGACACGTTAGAATACATTTTGATATTGAGTAATATTTTTAATTTATGTTGCATATATTATATTTAATATTCAATAATTTAATAAAAAATAAAGCTAAACTTATAATACTCATTAATTTTGCAAAGAAACATAGGATATCACAAATATTTATATTAAATTCAATAAAATGGTAATAGTAATTCAATGAATCTACTAGTTAGAACTAAAAACGCAACGGAACCTTTGAATCTTTTTTTGAGTTTCTGCAACGCGCGTTGAAGTGTCAGAATGTCGAACACGATACGTCAGAATTTTTGAAGTGTCGATGCTTCAGAGTTTATTTCCAACACTGTTAGATCATAATTTTAACAAACTTCTATCTATTCTCTCTCCTCTTGATATTCTTATCCAATGATATTGGAAATGAGTATGTAAAATAAACATGAAAAAAAATAGACATAATATTTTATGGGGAATACTAGTCTCATGTTATATAGGAGACTAATATCTCACGTTCTAGATACAAATCATGTGGAGTCCACTCATTTATTTATTTATTTTAAAATAATGGACTCCACAGACTTTGTATCTATGACATAGATACTAATCTCTTATAACATAAGACTAGTATTTCTGATATTTTATCCCACAAAATAAATATAAAAGTTCAATTTCAAAAATATAATTACATTGTTGCATGTTAGCTCGTTTGCATCCAAAGATGTGAAAGAGATGAATTCCAAAAAAAGAAAAAGATGTGAAAGAGACCAATTTCCCAGTAGGTTACTGTTGTATTTAGTTGGGGGGAAATTGACAAAATTCCTCATACTCTGCATCATTTCCCTGTTTTTAAGGGGCAATTAAGGGGTCCAGAACCAGCCCATGACTTGCTGGTTAGCAGAACAAACAGCAGCACCTTAGAGGTCCCACCCCTACCAAAACAAGATTACTGACTTCATCAACAACCAAAAACCAAAACAAACCCATGGAGTGGACCCAAAAACAAATAAATTAAAAATAAGCTGAGTGATGGAAAAAAACACACACCCATAACGTAAAGCGTGGAAGACAAGACACTATCTCTCTCTCTCTCTCTTGTCATCCTCTTTATTACCTTCAATATTTTAGTAAATTCCTTGTTATTTCATAAGAAAGAGATCTACTTCCCTTAAAAGGAAAGTGCCCACAAATATTTCCGAAAGAACTCAATCTATGGGGGTATTTAATACTATATAGCTAGTTAAATTACACTATTATACGAGATTATCTTTAAAAATTGGGATTCGGATCGGATAAAGGCGCATGCTGTTGGAAGAATGCATACTTGATTAGAGAGAATAACAAAAGGCATAATAATGTTACTTTTGGATTCATTAGCCACATCACCGACCCTTAAATATATCATATTCCTCAAAACTAATAAATGTATGCCCTTATGGCCTTATCTAATGCATACACAGATAACCAAAAGCTTACAGCTTGATTCACCCACTATTAGGATATGATTTTTTTATGCCTCTTCTATCTGTTTTATTCGTGAATATAGAGAATAGCAGCATAGCTGCACAGGACCATAGGAATAGAATAGCACAAGCAAGCAACTCACATCCTATTATACAAAAAAAAAATATACTTGTAAAAATAGCAACACTTTCTGCCCCTTTGTCTCGGACACGAGATATGTAGGAAAATCATTATTCCCTCTCTGACCGGGGAGAAAGAGAGGAATTGCAGAAAGCTGCCAAGTTCACTCTCCACACCACCCCTCAAGCAAACCGAGCAAGAAGCAGAGAAATCATTTGTATAGAGAGACATACAAGAAGCCAAGTTGAAGTGAGAACTAATCGAACTACTAATACTAACTAAATTTGAATAAAACTACTTTTAGCATATAGCAGCAAAAGGAACCTCGAACCCAGAAAATAAAATAAAATAAATTCCCTTCTGAATATATCATTCTCTCCAATGTTAAATATCCTTAAGAAAGGTGATAATCATCTCATTAATAAATATAAAACTAAACAATTAAAAACAAAAATTAAAAGAAACCACTAATTAATAATTAACTGGTACCATCTTTAGTCTATCTAAAATATTATTCTCTCTCTCTCTCTTCCTTTCTACCATGAAAGATCAAGAAGACGAAGAAGACCCATTAGCACCAACGTTAGCCCCATCATCATTCTGGTCGTGATGACTCGGATCCTCAGCGCTAGCGTTACCATTTATTTCAGCGTTATTGTTGTTATTGTCTATGATGTTGTCGTTGTTGTTGTTGGGGTCTTCCTGCAAAATGCTCTTGCTACCATCATTGGCATTATCTTTCTTAGCATAAGTGTTCTTGTTGTTATGCATCCAAACTTTCAGCACCCCTCTATCAACACCAATCTCGCTGCAAAACTCCCTAACCAAATTCTCGTCACTCTTCTGCATCTTCCACCCAACCCTCTCCGCGAACCTCTGCATCTTCTCCTTCTGCTCCTGGCTGAACCTGGACCTGAACCGCTTCCGGCTGATGGACACCGGGGAGGCCAAGGCGCCGGCGTTGTTGGCTGGGGCAGCAGTGCTCTCCGGGGGCGCCGCCAGGCCGGCGGACAGCGCGAGGAGAATGTGGGGTGCAGAGGGGTAGTACGAGGAGGAGATCGGCGGCGGAGAGGCCGAATTGGGGCTTCGGTTGGAGACCTGAAACGGCGGCGGCGGCGGAGGGTGATGGCGGTGGTGAGGCTGGTACTCTATGACATGGGTGGTGGTTGAGATGGGGGAATCCTCCGGCTCGCGGCGGTGGAAATTCCGGTGGCAGCCGCAGGCGGCGCATTTTAAGGAACAGGGGTCGGCGGCGGTGGCGTTGGGGGAGGGCATGAACTCGCCGCAACCGTCCAAGGAATGGCCTCCCAAGCCGGCTGCGTGGTTTTTCAGGCATTCTTTGTAGGTCACCGCCACGGGGTGGTTGGTGGCCAGAGGGTAGAGATGGTGGTGGTGGTGAGAGTGGTGGTGACGCTTGAGGACGCCGTTGGAGAAAGACAAGGCCTTGGTGGTGTTGATCCTGGTCGGTGTTTCAGTGTCATGTTCTGGCGATTTTGTTGCACTCGTAGGATTGTTGTTGATTGTTGTTGTTGGCGTTATGTCCATGGCTCAAACATCTATGGTGGGTTAAATGATTTATAAGAAAAAAAAGAAAAAAAAAAGAGAAAAAGCTTAACTTTTTATGGTTTGCTAGGGTTAGGTTTTATGTGCAGATTAGAAATATCACACTACATGAATTGTGAAGTTTGAACCTTCTGATGAAGCCACTGTTTTATCCCTGAAAATTAAAAGGGAGTTTGGGTTGTGAAGAAGCGAGAATAAAAAAGGAAGAAAAAGAAAAAGAAAAAAGAAGGGTTACTTTGGTGAAAGCGAAGAAGAAGGAAAAAGAAAAGAGAAGATGTAGGGAAAGATGTTGACGATGATGATGCTCTCAGGGATGACTGTTGATAATAAAAATCTGGGTTATGTGGTTGTCTCCTTCTTAACCACTTGTTTTTTTAACCCTGGTTCTAATCCATGGTTAAGTTCTTGACCCCACTTGAGGTTAGATGTGAGTAATAAATATGCGTTCTTGGCCTCATCCTTTGTTCTACGGAAAATATGACCCTACAGTTTATTACCACTATTATCAGCTATTACAACACTATACTGCAATAGTAATGAGCTTTATTTAATCTTGGGAATTTGATTTTGACTCCACATTGGTCTAGTAAAGCCAAAGGGCCCGCGTCAGTTGAGTTAATTTGCTTGAAGCAGAAGGTTTTTGTGGAAAAAAATGATGACTCGGTCAGGACCGAGTTGAACCGGGGAGTGATTGCTAGCATGGAATTGGCATGGCCTGTAACTCTGAGCCCATTGACTGTAACCCATCTAAATTTGTCAAGTTGGCAGGGAAGGACGGGACGGGACAGCTTTCACAGTAAAATCATTGAGGTTTTTCATTTTTGGGATGCTAGTCATTTCCCTTTTCTTTTCATTTTCACTTTTTCTCTTTTTCTATTTTTCTAAACCCTTTGCTTAACGGATGCTCCTAACAAAAATATTATCATCTCACTCTTCGTGTGGCATACAAAATTACCCCTTTGATCAAGCTTGAAGGAAAGCTCCAATGCAGTGGAAATGTGAAAATTTCATTTTTTTTTTTTAAATATTTCTATAATCAATGGAGATAAGATATTTTTAATCAACACAAAATGATGTTATTTTGTGACAAAAATTAAAATATTTTTATAATTTTAATTCATTGCAGTGTTATATTAATTTTTATCGTTATTATTTTTTAATCTTATAATCCAAAATAACATCGTTTTGAACTCATTGAAGATAACTTTATTTACAGTGTGAAAAAATATTTTTCTCTCTTTTTTTTACTGAACTTAATTATTTTTATGAGATAAATCGATCCCAAGTATTCTCACAAATCGGCCATAAAATTAATATTGTGATGGAATTTAATTGTAGTTAAAAAAAATTGTTCTTCTCAAAAATAATAAATAAAAATCGAATTCAGATTCTCTATTTATCTATTTATCCTGTGTTACCAATTAAGCAATACTCAAGTAAAATTTCAATAAAAAAAGGAAGTGCGTGTAGATCATTCCTAAATGGGGATGGCCGAATGAGTAATTTAGTAAAAACAAAACAAATGAGAAGATCGGTTTTTCTTTTACCGGATTTGAATTTTGAGGAAGTAATTTAAAACCTCAAATTAATACATAGTGAGCAAAATTATTTCGGTTCTATCCTCTTACTATATGCTCAAGCGTGGAATAAGCCAATCAAAATTGAACAGTAATCATGACATGTGTACAAAGGAGAAAAAAAATTAATTTAAATATCATCAAATGAATAGAAAATGCAGATACTACTATTGCACTAAAAGATCTTTTCATATGGAGAACATTTATTTATTTATTAATTGAAAAAAATATTTTTTATTTTAAAAATGTAAAGTTGTATTATTTTAAATAAGTAATAAACGATACGAAAAAGAGTAAATAAAAAAATAAAAAGTATGGGTCTCATATCTTTGTTAGAGTGAAATGATATAAATTATATTATTTAAAAATACAAACATCTTTTCGTTATTGATTTTTATGTATTGTTCCATTTGCTGTTAATTTTTTATCTGCTTTTTTATAATTTCCATAAAAACTTCTTTTTCTCAAATTTAGTTCGCCTCATTATATTAATGTTACATTTAATATAACAATTTTTTTGTTACAATATTTTAATATTTTTATTCTCGCTTTAATTTATTCCAAAGGGACTTTAAAGTATCTATGTCGGCATTACGGACATTAAAACGGACTTGACAAATAAAACGGCGTCGTAGTGAGACTCTGCTCGTTTAGCCCCGACAGGAGCAACATGTCCCGAAACCGTACCGTGAAACTAGGATAGGCGGTACAGTTTTTGTCTTCAGACCAAAATGCCCTTCACGGTTCGATGAGATTACGATTTAAGGACTTACAAGAACTGTCAAATCGGTCGACACGTGTCCATTGGGGGCACGTGGCAAACGCCTGTGAGTCAGCCTTTGAATTTCTTATAATTCTTTCCTATACATTTTTTTTCAGTCTTCAAATTTTCCATTAGCATTTCTATTATTAAATTTGAGTTCGCTTTTTCTTCCGTTACCGCAGATAAGTTATTTGCAGTAAGTCCAATACGACATCGTTTTGAAAATAAATACAGATAACTTATCTGCAATAATTGTAGAAATATTTTTCCATTAAATTTACGTGAACTTTATTATGCAAATTTTATCACGAGACTCACATAAATTTAATATAGAATATTACATATAAATTCCTTCTCATGAGTGTGAGAATTTCTCTCTTTGATTAGTGGGACGCACAGATTCATCTGAGTATTAAAGTCAATATTAATTAATTAATTAACATGAAAGAGGAAAGAAGAAAGGGATAATAGAATGCTTCACGGAACACTGTAAAAAAGTAAGGGGATGGAGGGCACTGAATAAAGAGAGAGAATATTTTTTATTTTAGGGTGACGTAAGCATACTAATGACAAAAGAGCTAAAGTTTAATAATGGGTGGCGTGTAGGAAAACGTCAAACATTGCATTGAAAGTTGAAAATCACAATGTATTAAATTTTATTTCCAATGACGAGGTATACGGAAATTATTTTAAAGAAAAGAACAAATTTATTATTTTAAAGAATATAATTTTGGAGAAGATTATACTTATAAATTTTTTTTTTACAATCTCTTACCATCATATCTTAACACCGTTGATTTTTGCTAATCAACGGTCATGATTTTCGCAAATTAAATTTATTAATTAATTATTAACTCACAATAAATGATAACCGTTGACTGGCAGAAATCAACGGTGTTAAGATATGGTTGTAAGAGGTTGTAAAATAAAAAAGTTATAAATGTAACCTTCCTCATAATTTTATATCATTTTAAATTCTAATTGTTAATTTTAATCAATTAATAGTTAAAATTTATTATAATTTATTAATTAATAAATTATAATAAAAATTAACGGATAAAATATAAAATAACACAAAATTATATACTTTAAAACAATAACTTCTTTTCCCTTAAAAAGTTAAGGTGTAAAGTCGGAGTGAGAAAACTTATCATTTATTCTTAACCGCCTGTTTGGTAAAAGAAAAAAAATTCTCTTAGAATTTACGATTCTGAAAATATATTGAGAAAATGAATTTTTCAAAAGTATTATAAAAAAATTTGGCATAAAAAGCGCCTCTGTAGTAATAATTTTTGGAGGTCCGAAATATAAATTTATTATTACTATCGTTATTTTCTACTCGTATTTAAAATTGATTGTTATTAAAAAATACATAATAAAGATTAACAAATATATTTAAATTCATATATATGATATTTATTTTTAATTTAGCTCTTATATAAAACAATTTTCAATTCAGTTTTAATAAATATAGTTACTTTTTATTTGATCTTTAATGCAATTAATGTTATTCAAGCTTTTGATTTAATTTTTGGTGAAATATTTATTTATATAAATTCGAACACTGCACACGTTTCATATATAATGGGGTCACAAGTGGCAGAGCCATATATTACCTGAGAGTGGCCTCGGCCCGAAGGGGTGTTCAAAAGGTCTAAAATAAGCAAACTGATTTATAACCAAATTGCTTCACATTTTAAAAGTCAGTTTCATATTAAACTACATTTTATTTTATAAACTGGTTATTTCTCAAACTATAAAAATAATTGATTATCCATAACCAAACTTTTTTACAATTAAAGAACAAATAAGTATTAATTTTTATCCTTAGCATTAAAATGTGAAAATTACATAAATATAAATCATTTTTAAATGTGACATTATTAAAAAAGTCTCAAATACTAACAGAATTTCTCGAAGAAAAATATTTCGTCAAAATTTTTGACAAAAATCATATTACGTAGAAAATAGAGACAAATTTTTTTCATCAAAACTAGAGACGAAACAAGATTTTATCATAATCACTGACATAAATTTTTGAGGGACAAAAGATTTTAGTCAAAATTCTTGATAGAATCTAAATTTCGTCAAAACTTTCGACAGAAACAAAATTCTGTCAAACTTTTCAACGAAAAATAATTCTGTAAATTTTTTTGACGAAACACATTTCCATAAAAAAAATTGACAGAAAATAATTTCGTCAAATTTTATTACGTAAAATATTTCCGTCCAAATTTTCGACGAAAAATATTTCCAGCAAAATTTTCAACAAAACACATTTACAGCGAAAATTTTGACAAAAAATATTTACGTAAAAAATTTTGACGAAAATAATTTTAGAAATTTTTTTTGACGGAAAATATTTCTATAAAAAATTCCGACGGAAATTTTTTTTGTCAAAGTTCTTTACGGAATCTAAGAGCCTGTTTGGATCCTCTTATTTTTAAGCTAAAAGCTACTTATAAGCTAAAGCTAAAAAAAAGAGCTTAAAAAAAGAGGCTAAAAGCTGTTTGGAAATTACATAAAAATTTTAGCTTAAAAATTAGTTAAAAACACATATTTCAAGAAAATTATTTCTTTCTCTATCTTTATCACTCTTCATTTAAAAAAAAACACACACAATTCGAGAAAAATAGATAAGAACTTAAAAAAAAGCTCCTCCTAGAAGCTTTCAATTTTCAGCTTTTTTCTTCATTATAAAAATAAGAGCTTTTTCCAAAATCTGTTTGGCCTAACTTATGCTTATAAGTAGCTTCTAGCTTAAAAATAAGAGGATCCAAACAGGCACTAAATTCCCTCCAATCATTTCCCTCAAATTTTTTGACGAAAAATATTATTATAAAACATTTTGACAAAAAATATTTTTGTCAAAATTTTTTATCGAAATATTGTTCGTCAAAATTTTATACGAAATTTTTTCAAAGAAATATTTTCCGTTGAAAATTTTGATGGAAATGTTCTTTAAC